GCCCGGGAACTCCCGAGCCTTCTGAGAAGGCCCGCCCCCTCCCACCTTCCCCCCTGGGCTGGCCGCCGATTGCTGCCGCCGACCCCGAGGCGGACACTTGGCAAAGCCTTCCATCGCGGTCGACCCCCGACCTGAGGGGCTCTGGGCCCTTCGCCTCCCCCCCCCGCCCAGGCCTCCCCTCCTCCTCCTCCTCCTCCTCCTCCTCCTCCTCCTCCTCCTCCTCCTCCTCCTCCTCCTCCTCCTCCTCCTCCTCCTCCTCCTCCTCCTCCTCCTCCTCCTCCTCCTCCTCTATCCTGCTGCACGGCCATGCGGTAGAGCGAGATCGCCACGGGCATGGCGTTGTACGACTCCTGGGCGGGGGCCAGCGCTGGGCCGCCGCCGCCCCTCCCCGCCCTCCGAGCAGGAGCAGGGAGGGGGAAGGGGGGAAGGGAAGAGGAGGGAGAGGAGGAGAGGGGGAGGTGGAGGAGGAGGGGGAGGAAGAGGAAGGAGGCGAAGAGCGAGGAAGAGGAGGAGGAGAAGGCGGGGAGGAGGACAAAGAAGGGAAGGCAGGGACTGGGGGGGGGGCGGAGGGAGACGGATGAGGAGGAATAGGAGGGAAGGAGAAACGAAGGAGAGAGGAGAAAGAGAGAGAGAGAGGCAGAAAGAGAGATAGAGAGAGAGACAAAGACAGAGACAGAGGCAGAGACAGGGACAGAGACAGAGAAGGGGGCGGGTCTTCCGCCCCAGGGTCCCGGTAGTAGTCGTTCAGCTGCTCCCTGCGCTCTTCCTCCTCTTTGTGAGAGCGCCGACCGTACACCTACACCGACTGTGGCCAGACCGGCCCTGAGCCTGGGGCTCAGCGTCTACGCCCTCCTGGCCTGGCCACAAGAGCGCATACGCCGATCAATGACCCAGGATCGGCCTGGCCGTGTAAGTGTATACCTGGATACACAAACACCCGACGTTGGGTTTTTTGTGTGCAGCGTGCAACGTGGACCCAAAAATTTGGACCATAGCTTTTCCATCCCGAGCCATTCATTGGCGGCCACCTGGGCCGAGGAAAGCCCTCCAGAAGCAGAAAAAACAAAACAAAAAACTCCCGCGGAGACTTTTGATCACGGCGCGAAAGCTGCTGGGCAGAGCCAGCGCCCTTCATTGGCAACCACGCGCGAACCCGACCCCATGCAGCTCCGATGTCTGATGGGAAAGCGAAAATCCACCCCCGCCCCCATGTCCCGACCCCATCCCCGAACCCGCGATCCAGGGGGTCGGGACTGGCGGTGGGAGTGGTTCCTCGGGGTCCAAGAATGGAAAAAACGCCCCCACCCCCAATCCGGACCTTTTGAATCACCGGCTCGGGGGTGGGAGTCGGGACCGGGGTGGGGGTGGGTTTTCGCTGTCTGATCTGAAACACCCGCGGGGGAGAATATGAGGGGGCGTCGGCGGCCAAATCATATCCAACGGGGGCGTCCGATACTCAAGGGGCAAGGCCCGCGAGTGGTCGCGGACTCCGGTCCTTGGCTTGCCTCTCCTCCGCGCGGCGGCGACGCCGCTGGCCCCGGGCCAGCATCCGCTCCGCACGGCGGGCGGCCCGCTCGGCCGGGCCGAGGTTTTCCTCTCCGTCCGGGTCCCACTCCTGGGCGCGAAGCGGGGAGGGAGGGGGGCGAAGGGGGGCGGAGGGGGGGGGGAGGAGGAGGGGGGGGGGGGATGGAGGAGGAGGAGGAGGAGGGAGGAGGAAGGAGAGGAGTAGGAGGAGGAGGAGGAGGAAGGAGGATGAGGAGGGAAGAAGGAGGGAGGAGGAAGGGAGGATGAGGATGAGGAGGAGGAGGATGAGGAGGAGGAGGAGGATGAGGAGGAGTGGGGGGAGGGGGAGGAGGAGAGGGGCGTGCGCACAATTAGGAAGAGGAGGGGAGGAGGAGGAGAGGAGGCCGGAGGAGGAGGAGGAGGGGAGGCAGTGAGGAGGAAGAGGTCATGGGCGGAGGATGAGAGAGAAAAGGAGGAGGAGGAGGCGGGGTCAGGAGGAGGGAGTGAGGATGATGGAGAAGGATAGGGGGAGGGGGGGGAGGAGTAGGAGGAGTCGGAGGGAAGAGGAGGAGGAGGAGGAGGAGGAGGGAGGGGGAGGAGCAGGAAAAGCAGAGGTAAGAGGAGAGGAAAGAGCAGAGGAGGAGGAGGAGGAGGAGATGGAGGAGGGGAAGGAGGAGGAGGCGAGGCGCGCGAGGCGATCCGCATAAGGAGGTGGTCGTCCAACTTCAGCTGAGAGACTAGAAAGGCCCCCTCTGCGCGAGCAGCACGCAGCAAGGACCCGACAGCCCTTCGACATCGCATCGAAGCCACTGCCAGGGCCCGCGCACGGGGCGGATCACGAGGCCTTCCCTCCACCCCCCCCCGCCCCCACCACAGGCTAACGCGCGGCCCGTTCGCCCAGAACCTTGCATCACCAATCAGTAGCTCCCCGGTGAAACCACGGGGCGCGGCACCGCCAGCACTGCGCAGCCAACGGCGCGCGCGAGCGGGCCTGCGCAAGGAAGAGGGTTCCTTGAGCCCCTCTTTAATTCGCGAACCAAATTCCTCTCTGCACCCTGCGGAGAAGAGGAACGAGGACGACAGATTAAGAACGAGAGAGGGGGGCCACTGGGCGAGAAGGCCTGCACTCCGAGATGTCCTCGCTAGCGCGCGGCACTCCCTCAAGGCGAATTCGGCATTCTCCTCCGCACCAAACAGGCTCAGTTGAATCCCTGTGCTTTCCCATTCTGAAAAGGCGTAATCTTCACGGGGTAGCAGTTGTGCAGTTGCCTCCCATGGCGGCAATAACTTCAATGCCTTCCCATTCCGAAAGAACGAATTCCACCTCTGGCAAAGTGCGAACTGCGCCGCTGGAGGCCAAGTGGTGCCGCAATTCATCCGCAGAAAAAGAATGGCCATAATTGTTCCACATAATGTCATAGATGCCGTTCAAAGGTCGCCCGTTGCGCTTCCACGTGCGCTCTTCGATAACAAACCCTTCAACAGCTGTATCTTGAACCACTGAAAGGTCAGAGGGGGCCCTCGTTGGGAAATGTTGCCGGCCCCTTCGCCTCAATTTCCCACTCCTTCTCCACCTCCGCCGCGCCTGCACCATCCCTTTGCGAAGCAAAAACTCGAGTGCTTCAACAAATTCTCCACTGGACATCCCCCCTTCCGTGGACAGCGTTTGCAAAACGCCCTTAGTAACTCCTTCGTGGGACGCTGCAAAACTGAAGAATCCCGCGATCTCAGGGCCACCATTGAGGGGCATGGGCTTTCGAAGTTCGCCATCGGCACCACTCGGCGGCCTCTGAACTTCGGGGCCTCCTCTTCCCAGACCTCCTTCGCTCTCCGGCGAACAGACGAGTCGATCTCCTGGGAGAAAACTTCCAAATAATTGGGTTGGCCTCCATCTTTCCAGGCATCCTTCTCGTCCGTCTCACCGCGGGAGTCCATTGGTTTTCGAAGTCCATCATCGGCAGGAGCCAATGACCTCCGAACCTCGGGGCCTCCATCTTCCCTTTGTCGCCTGCGTTCGTCTGCGCCGCGGCCACGAGGCTCTCTCTGCGCTTCTGGCGCTGCAGCGTTTCGACTCGGCGCACCCCGAGGCGACTCGAGTGCAGCGGCCCCCTTTTTCAGGGGGGGCAGGTGGCCACGGCTGTCCAGCCTTGCCTCCAGTTTTGCTCGGCGGCGAACAAACGAATACGAAGCAGGGCCAATCGGATTCCACTGGCGGGATCTTCGATCTCCTGCGACAACGGTCCCAATCTGGAAGATCCACTAGTACTTGAGACGGGCTGCTCCTGGACCCGCGCGGGCGCCTGATGGGAGCCGAGGCGGCTCTGTAAACTCACCTGACAGCTCTTCCCCCTGGGCCCCACGGGGACCCGAGGAAGCTCTACAACCCCCCCCGCTGCCGCATGTCCTCTTTCGTGTACCATGCTGCAGTTCGCCTGTCCGTTCCCTGGACTTGAGCAACTATCTATTCACAAATTCCAATCCTGGCAAGCTGGCATTTCCGCGCGTGGGTGCGGCGGGTCCGTTCTCTGCGTTTTGGGCCCGTCGTTTTTTCCAGGTCACACTCCAATCTTCCAAAGATTGGACAGATGCGGCACAAGACAAATTCATCACTAGCTCACGACCCGGCACTCTGGGAAAGGCCACATCGAGGTACGGTATCGGAAGGGCTGCAGAGATTGTAATATTTGTTGGTATCCTTCTCTGCCCCTGGCCCCGGCAGAGCAACCTGCGTGGCTGTCAAAGTCCGTAAGTCGTGTGAGTGAGGAGTGTTAGTGAAAATCCTCCCTCCGTCGGGGCTCAAAGCGTCTGAGCTCCAACGCCGACTAGGAGGAGGAGGAGGAGGAGGAGGAGGAGGAGGACGACGACGACGAGGACGAGGAGGAGAAGGGGGAGGGGAGGAGAAAGAGGAGGGGGAGAGGGGGGACGAGGGGGATGCAGAGGGGAAAGGCGAGGAGGCGAGCGGACACCGCACGGAGCTCACCAGGTCAGCCACGCGTGGTGACGGGCTGGAGTAGGTGACCCCAGAGGGAGCGATTCTCTGCCCTATGGGCGACACGCCGCTCGAACGAAGGAGGGGCGCGATCCACCGTCGCTGGCCTGAATAGAATCTATGAGGAGGGCAAAACCCAGGGCAGTCCCCCTCCCCTCCCTCTGGGAGGGGAGAGGGAGGAAACAAAAAAAAACAAAAAAACGGGGGCTGAAACCAGGGACCCCCCCTAACCTCCCCCCTCCCACACCCCCGCCCCACCCCCCAAGATCATGATTCGGAGGAGTCCAGAAATGACCCCCCCCTCCCCCCCAAAGACATTACTCGGGGGGTCCACTACCACCCCCCCCGGCAACGACAGCGACGACGACGACAACGCCAGCGACGCCATGGCGACAGCGACGACGGCGACAATGTCAGCAGCAGCGGCGGCGCACCTAACGCCGCCGCCCGCACCAGGCGCTGGCTATGATAATAGAATGCTACTAAGGTTCGACCCAGTTCTCTCCGAATTTCTAGGGCTCGCTCCAGCTCTAATTGAAGCCTACCACGACAGATGGATACATCTATCATGGGATCCTGTTCGGGTTGGGTCGAACTCAAATTGAATCTCACAAGGGTCCGATTCAAGTCTGAGAGTATCCCACTGAAGCTGGATTTATCGCTGATAGAACTCTGAACGAACTGGACCCAGCTCTAAACAAATTCTGCTTGAGCTCGATCCAGCTCTAACAGAATCCTTATTGGGCTCCATCCAGCTTTAACAACAGCCTTCGAGGGGCGATCAACAAGGTCTCTCAGAATCCGACCAGGGTTCGGCCCACCTGTGATAGAAGCCTACGAGGGCTCGAGCCAGCTCTAGCAGAATCCTACTAAGGCTGGATCCAGCTCTAATGGAATCAAACCGCTGCTCGATCAAGCTCTATTGGACTCCTACTACGGTTGGGCGACCATAATGTATGTGTCCGCTGCCTGTGCATTATGTTCAGCTTCATTGTACTAAAACTGTGTGGTAGCTTACTTGTTTAAGAAAATAAATCAAATTTGAAATGCGTCGAGCCAAACAGACATTTCCAGCATTCGAACTTACATATGCGTGTCCATAAAATTCAATGGCACGGGCCGATCCCAGCCTTCCGCAGAAGTCTTTGACTTGTTCGTTCGGATTTCACTTGGAACTCCTGAGGGCACGTGCCGATCCCCCCCTCCAGCAGAATTTGCTTAAAAAAATTGGGTTCAATGGGTATGTGTGTATACCTTATTATTATTAGTAGTATTATTATGCTTACTAGTATTATTATTGTTATTATTATGATTATCATTATAATTAGTAGTAGCATTATCATTACTATGACTATTAAACTATATATATATATCAAAATATCTATATATATATATATTCTCCCAACAAAAAATGCGCTGACCGCAGCCTCCCGCAAAATGATTCGAAGATCTATGTGTTCCCAGTCGGAATTCCATGGGACACGCGCTGATCCCAGCCTCCCGCAGAATTCTTCAACATTCCCCACAAAATGTTTACACTTAGGGGCTCTGCTGTAAGGAACGCGGTCGTGTGGCCGGCCTGGCGGCTATGCTGTCGCCGTCGCCGCCCCGTCGCCGCCTCGTCGCCGCCCGTCGTCTGGGCAGCGTGGCTGGCCTGGGGCTGTGTTGTCGCCGTCGCCGCCCCGTCGCCGCCTTGGCGCCGCCGCTGAATTGCACCACATGGAGCACACGAAGGAAAAGCGCCTGCGGCTCGCTTGTAGATCGTTCACAACGTAGTGCCCAATCCCCCAAGCTCTCCTGAGGAGTCTCTAAGGGGCCCGGAACCCAAGTTCATGAATCTCTTGGGCCTTCCCGGGTCTTCTGGGGGCTTGTCGCGTGACCGTCTCGGGCCCAAAGGTGCCCCAAGAAGGGCCAAGAGGGCCCCGAGTCGCTGAACGATCGATCCAAGACGCTCAAGATGATGGTCCAAGGGACCCCCAAGACGCCCCAAGAGGCCTCCAAGAGGCCTCCCAAGAGGCCAAAATCATTGCTTCTCCTCTGGTTTTTGAAAATGTTTGGCGTTCTCGCCTTTTCGGCTTCCCAACGCTCCCAGACGGCCCTAGAGGCCCCCAAGATCGCCCCAAGACGGCCCAAGAAGCCTACGAGGGAGCCCCAAAACGCCCCAGGAGGACCCCAAGACGGCCCAAGACGGACCAAGAGGCCCCAAAGACGGCTCCAAGAGGGGGACCCGAGCGGACATTTCGAGCCCCCGGCCACGAGGGGCCCCCAGTAGGTCCCAAGAGGCCCCAAGAGGCCCCCAGGAGGCCTCCACGGGGGCCCCCAAGAGGCCCCCAAGAGGCCCCCCAGAGACTCCCGAAGAGGCCCCAAACTGCCCACAAGAGGCCCCCGAGCGCGCTCCGAAGAGATTCCAAGAAGCATTCTGGAGATCTCAGACCCGCAACCCAGGCACGTTGGCGGGATGGGCCGAAGGCCATTAGATATATTCTCCTTTCAAATTCTCCTTTCAAAAAAGAGATTAGACTCGATCCCCCACTTCGCATTGCAATGTACATATGATCCTGCGCCATCGTCCATCCGAAATATGAATTCATACCATCCCAGTCAGGCCGGTATCGACACCCCCGCGATCATCTGCAAAAAACCTATGCGCGCGCACTCGTTTATCAAAACCCATCAGCTTTCAAGAACCCATTGCAAAAACAGGACGAAGTGCACACGCGCGCGAATACCACGCGGGCCAGTCTCGCGCGCATGTCAAGCTCCTTCCAGAACCTTCTCACCGACGCAAAGACGCCGTCATCGTCGTCGGCGTTATCAGCATCGACGCCGTTACTGGCTGCCCCGTCGTCGCTGTCAGCATCGCCACCAGCATCGCTACTATCATCATCGTGTTTGCCGTTGTCGACGTTGCCATGATACGAGAGAGCGTGATCCACCGCCGCTTTATTGTGGAAAATTGCCAACCTTTTCCTCCGGAGCCCGGGGGTCTCCCCCCCCCCCTCCGAAAA